CTTTATCTCAGGTAAGAAAGGGAATTCCTTTAATTGGGGCATGGGCACAGTTGAGGTGATAGTTTCCCTAAATGAATTACCCTCATTAACATAGTAAAAATCACACCCACCAGTGCCACTGACAGTTTACAAATGCCTTGGCAACTCCCAGAAGGTAGCCTGTAAGGTCAAGAAAGGGAGGGTTCCCAGTCCTAGGAATGCTCCACCCCTTTCCCAGAACACACATTAATATTCCACCCCCAGTTTAGCATAGCATTAAGATTTAATATAAAAGAATAGACCCTAACCCTGGGGTAACACTGTTCCTCCTTGGATCAGTCTGCTCTTTTGCCTTTTCTGAAGAGCGTACTCTGCCTTCACAAACCTTTCTACTTCTGCCTACACATTGTGTCTGTTCGTTCACTTATGACCCTGCCTTGAATTCCTTCCTGCACGGAGGTCAAGAACCCTCTCCACTGTTGTGGGTGGTGGTCTGCGCCCATATCAAGTTGGCTGTAAATAAGGGATTTATTTCTGGATTCTCTATTCTGTTCCATTGGCCTATGGTTCTATTTTTCTACCACTACTATGCTGTTTTTGTTACTATAGTTTCGTAGTTTTTTCTTTTTTTTGAGACAGGGTCTTGCTCTGTTGCCCAGGTTGGAGTGCCATGGTATCATCATAGGTCACTGCAGCCTCAGACTCCTGGGCTCAAGCGATCCTCCTGCCTCAGCCTCCCAAGTAGCTGGGACTTATAGGCTAGGTCTAGTGCCTAAAACTAAAGTCGGTTCAACACCACACCAATAATGTTGATTACAAGTTTATCTTCCCAGGTACACAACAGAGACAAAATGGGATCAATTATCCCTCCATCCACCCAGAGACACCTGCCTAATTGATTCTTCCTTTACCTCCCTTTTTTCTCTTCAGTCACCTTAGGTTAGATTTAATTAGATCCTCACAAGGATGTAACCATTTGCCTTGCTGCCCGTCCCCCGCCTCCTTTTTCTTTTTGTATGGCCTCTCCCCTTAAATACTGAGTTCCCGAATCCCTCTTTGGGAGCACAGGTCACAGATGCCTCTGAGGACATTTCCCTAGCGTGCTCTCAAACTTTAGCTTAATAAACCTCCATCGATTGAGATCTTTGCCTCAGTCACTTACTTTGGGTTGTCAGTAGAACGGTGGTTGCCAAGGGTGGGGGGAGGGGGAAATGGGGAGTTGTTTGATTTCTTGGGCAGATAGTAGCATTATGGTTATGTTGGAAAATGACCTTGTTTGGAAAAGGTAATGCTTAAGTATTTAGAGGTGAACGGGTTGCGGTGGCACAACTGTAGTCCCAGCTACTAGGGAGGCTGAGGAAGGAGGATCACTTGAGCCCAGGAGCTTGAGACCCTGTCTCAAAAAAAAATTTTAGAGATGAAATATCATGTCTGCAACTTATTTTCAATTGCGAATGAGAGAGATTGTGGATGCAGAGAGCAACAGATTTAAGAGACAGTGTGGTTTCAGAGAACACAGACTGAGAGAATAACAACTAACTAGGTCCCCGATGCCCTTCGTTCCTTATTTTATTTTTTAAATAATGTAGCTAAATTTACTAATCTTATCCTTTACATTTTTAAGGGCCCTGTCACTATCTTGATGAGGCTGCCCCCTGCTGGAGACAAGAGGAGGTGCAGGGCGGATCTTGGCCTCCAGCAATTCATTGCCAATTTCACTGTGGTGTTTGGCAGGTAATCCCTCTCAGTCCATGGCACCAATCTGAGGCCATTCTCTAGTTTCATTGAAAATAATAATAATGTTATAGCATCTAACAGGTATTGAGCACTTACTGTGTTCCAGGCACTGAGTTTAACTTCACATGCATTTCTCATTTGATTGCCATGATAATCTTTTAGGTAGATACCAGTATTATTTATCCCTATTTTACTTGAGAAAATTGAGGCACAGAGGGACTAAAAAATCCTCCCAAAGACATTCAGATAGTAAGAGGAGAGGCTGGGATTCAAATATGAGCAGACTGCACCAGGCTTGTAATTATTGATACAAAGCTATGTAGCCTCTCACAGAGCTTTCTGTATTTTTCGATTTGTTTATATGGATTTCTGGATAGAAGCAGTGAGTGAAGCAATGATGCAAACATGCTCCCATCTATCTCCCTTGGAGATTTCTGTACAAGGTCTTATTTTATTTATTTATTTTTTTGAGACAAGGTCTCACTGTCACCCAGGCTGGAGTGCAGTGGCATCATCGAGGCTCACTGCAGCCTTGAACTCCGGGCTCAAGTGATTCCCCACCTTGGCCTCCCAAAAATGTTGGGATTACAGGCATGAACCACTGCCCCCTGCTGCAATATTGCTTTTGACTTCCTATTTGGGAAGCAAAAAAAGAGTTCCAAGCTTGACTCTTCCTGCTAGAATTCTCCTTATTTCAGCAGTTAGCTGGGCTTATTTCCTAGGTGTCCGTTTTAACTCTGTACGTGTAAGAGTTGGGGATATAACTAAAGGGTAAATTCAGGAGGGAACCAAATTTCAGGGATTATTGGATACCACTCACTGAGTTCCATGCAGAAAATGTGGAGTGTACTAGAAAAATATGGGGAATGACTTTAGGCTTAATCAGGTCTAGGGTGGTCTCCTTGGCTGAACAGATCAATGAGGCACTCAGCACCCATTAATCTGGCATGTTCTTCTCTTTTCCTATCCACTTGGACAGCCAGTTTGCCTTCATCACCTAGCCCGAGATGAGCAACTGTGTAGTTTTGCACAACCTAATCCTTAAGAACTTGACCGGCCATTGCCAGGACATCATGCTGCTTATCCTGGAGAACTGCAAGGGGCAAGAATCCCAAGTGTCTCGGTAAAACAACTAAGCTTAATTGGGGAGATTATCCTCGGAGAAAAATTGCCCACTCAGCAAAGTTCCCTCGAATGAAACAAATTTTTTTTGTGCCTTGGTCTCCCCCGCTCCACCCCATCTCCCCCACTGTGTGCAAAGCATGGGGAGCCTCCTCAAATCTTGGTGAAAGCATTTACATTTGGGTGTTCTGCTCCAAATGCATTTAGTGGGTAGCCCCCCCAAATCTACCACCCACAAGCAGGGCCTTGAGCAAGAAAAGATTCTCTGGGTGGTCCAGGCTGCAGCATGGTTCTGGCAAGTCTGGCTGGCCCTTCCAAACCTGCAGAGCTCACATTGTCTGTGGCAGATCCAAACCCTGTTTGGAACTTGAGGCAAGGATCTGAAAGAGACCCTGGTTTTCTTGAGAAAGGCCATGCCTATTAGGTTAACTAACCAGGCTTCTGCAGAGATGGGGCGTTCTACTGTGGGATCTCATAAGACCCTGCCACCTGGACTGATGGAATCTGATAGCCTATCTGTGTCCCTAGCAGCACTCTTTGATCCAACAGCAGGTACAGATGGCACTGGGCTCGAGCTAAACCTGAAGGTGCCTGTAAGCTGCCTGTTCATGCCTACATCCACAAGATGGTTGTGGGCAGAGAAGAAAAATGCTGAAACTTGGCTTACTGGTGGCTTTGGTGACATACTGGCACCAGCAGTGAGTGCTCAGTTACAGCTCCATGTGGGACACTGGAGGACAGCAGTGAAGGGAATTCAGCCCAAAGACAGAGTTTCAGGGAGGTGTCACATTGTGTCCTCCATCTGAACAGATAGATGGCTTATGTTTTGATGGATCTTGGTGCAGAGGACTTGGAAAGAACAAAACTGGAAGCTGGAGACGAGGTTCAGGAAGGAGTATGTTACACAAAGCTGGACTTCTAACACAGTGTCCCACACGAAAGCTCACCAAATGCTTCCACCACGGGGGACCAGATGGCCCACTCTTCACCACGATGAAGCCCGAGGCTGTGAAAGACATCGCCAAACCACGGCCCACAATGTGTGCCCCTCAGCTCTCACTCCAGATGCCACGGTGAGCATCTGAAAGCAGGGACTGCACTGTGCTCTGGCCAGAATCAGTGCCAGGGAAAGGAAGAGCCACTACCAGCCTGAGTCGGCCATCGCCCTCAGGAGTGCTGGGTGCAAGGTACAAGGCACCTCGACATCTGCTTTCTCACCTGGAGCATGTGTTGCCCATACTCCCTAAAATGTTCTCAATTCTTGGGGGTTCCACAGGGCCTTCCTACAAGGCAGGACTCATGGAAAGCTGGATTGTGTTCGTTTTCCTCTGGTGGTAGCTGGAGTCCCTATGAACAGCAGCAAAGGGAGAGCAGCTCTGGCTCAGTGACACGTCTTCAACCCCATCTCACGTGCTGCTTGAGGGCCTGCATCTGAACGGGGGCTGTGGATCCACACGATCACTTACTCAACCTTGTGAACGTCAATCACAAGTATTCCCAGTACCCACAGGGCTTGGTCCAAGTGCCTGCCAAGCCGCACCGACTTCACAAAGCTTTGGTCGGCCAGGCCTCCTCTGCCAGTAGCAATCTGGAGGGTGGTCCAAGAACACTGGCAGTGTCAGGGCAGATGTGGGTCACTAAGGCCAGGGGTGGAGAGAGCCACCAGAATAAGTGGGCTCTCCTCTTTGTCTCCTGGGTCTTGGATACACCAGACCCTGGCCAGTGGTTAGTCTGTAGCTCCAGTATTGACTGGGTGATACCTGCTCCAAGTCAGATCCCTAAAGCCCCAGATCAGGGATGGGCAAACTTTTCCTTTGCAAGTCATATGGTCTCTGGTGCAACTACTCATCTTTGCCACTGAGTGTAAAAGCAGTCAACTAATGGATGTCAGTGTGTTCTGACAAAACTTTATTTACAAAACAGGCAGCAGGCCACATCTGGCCCATGGACTGTAATCTGCCAATTATTGCCAGTGATGATACTTAGGAGATGACCTGGCTGCCCCACTGGGACTGTGGCCCAGTCTGATCTGTGAGGTGGAAGCCACTCTAGGGCCTCGTGCTATGCTGAGGCTGTACATGGGGGGTAGAACAGGGCACTGTGTTCTGGAGTTTCTGACCAAGTGGTGAGTGCAGGGGCCAGAATGTGAGGGCCATGCTGGAAATAGCTAAGCCAACTGCTTTATTCCAGATCAGGCCCGACCCTCCTACTCCCCGTACACACATCGTCCCTGATGGGCACTGTCCTTACTGGGCCCCTAGGAGCCCTTGTGCTGCGGCCTGACCACCAGCCCCTCTCTGGTGACGGCCCAGTTGTAGCTCTTTGGGGAATCCAGCGCTTCTTCCACCCGCGCCTCCAGGTTCTCTCGGGTGATGAAGTTTTTCACCTCCTCCTATTGGGAGAGAAAAGGCCAGCTGAGTGGGGGGCCCGCAGCAGGTGCCAGCCGGCCCATACAGCCTAGGTCCTCTCAGTGCTTCACCAACCGTCCAGTGGAATAACATCTGGCAGCCTTGTTATAGTCCTCCTTCTTGGACAAGCACCCATCGGACACCTCAGCCAGAACCTCAAGCACCAGCTATGACAATCTCATGTGCTGCTAGGTGGAATCAGTCCCTCAATGTTACCTGGTCCCCTCTGAATCTTTCTCGAACTCATCCCTCCTCCTCTATTATTGATACTTTAATTCAAGCCTCATCCATTCTCACTGGATTACTCCTAACAGGTCTCCCTGCATTATGTCTTACACCTGCCAATCCTAGCCTAGAATATTTACCCCTTCAATGACTTTATCACCTGTAAGGCAAAACACAACTGCTTTATGGGCAGAGGGGTCCCTCCCACAGACATGGCTTCCACTTTCTAGGTACTTGAACACTTTCCAATTTCTATGCTCACCTCTCGGTCTCTCCCCCGACAGGCACTCTCCTTGTCTCCCAAATTCTCAACTGCTAACTCTAAGCGTCTGTACTTGGCCAGCGCCCCACTTTGCGGTGCCCAGAATCCCCACAGCCGCACAGGCCGAGCTCTGGCTCAAGCCCCACCCCCCGAGGACACTGCCCACCTGCAGCTGCAGCACTTCTTGTTCCTTGAGCTCCACCCAGGCCTGCGCCTCTCGGGCCTTGCGGGCCTGCTCCTCGGCCTGCTGCTGCTCCTGCTCTCGCGCCTCCCGCCGCAGCCTCTCTATCCTGCGAGGGGCAAGAGGCCGAGGCTGAGCGGGGCCCGGGCCTCTCCCAGGCAGGCCAGGCAGCGCCGTCCCACCTCCCGCCCCACGCACCGCAGCTCGTGCAGCCGCCGGTTCTCCGCCTGGTTCCAGGCCATCAGCTCTCGGTGCTCGGCGGCGTCCTCCAGGGCCTTGCGCTCCGCCAGGACCCCGGCTCGGGCCTCGTGCACCTTCTTCCGCACCTCGGACACGAACTCCAGCCTGGGCGGAGAGCGCTTCTAGTCGGCATCCTCTCCACCCGTCCCCGCACTCCCCTGCCGGCGCGGACGGCCACCTCCCCCTCCGCCACACACCTGAGGGCGCGCACGGTTTGGCGGTACTGCTGGTAACGCTGCGTCACCACGAAGAACTCCGCAGGGTCCACCGAGGGCGGCGTCTTCACGCGCCCGACCTTAGACTTGGCCGGCGGGTCGTGGCGGGTCTTGCGGCCGCGCGCGGGCAGCAGCAGCAGGGCTGGGGGCCGGCACGGCGGCCGCGCGCCCACGCCGCTCAGCGCGCGCAGCATGGCCGAGTCCGCTTGCTGCGGCCCGCGCCGCCAGGACACCGCTGTGGTCCGGAAGTGGCCGCTAGGCACCATGGGACTTGTAGTCCTCGGACGGCCCCCAGTTCCCATCCCGCGGTGTGGCCTCTGGAGAAGCGGACTGCGCGGGACCCGGCCGACATCTGCAAGCGGCCTCCGCCCCCCCGGCCTCTGGCTGGACGCTCCCCGCAGGGCCCTGGGCCCTCCCGCGTCCCTTCAACCCCCACGCGGGGAAGGGTCTCAGCGTTGGTGATAGATGCAGAGACGAAGGAGAGAACTCGAGGCAACACCTTCGGGGACCTTACACTTTTATTGGAGGGCCAAGGGGCGCGGAGTCTGCGGAGGGAGGAGGCAGTTATGCCTCGCGACATTCTGATCACATGACCGCTGAGCCACGACCTTCCCTCCAGTCCCAACCCGGCCCCCTGGAGCAGGCGTCCCCCGCCCCTAGAGCCTGAGGACACAGCGTGGGGGTCTCCAGCTCCCTGGGCATACGGCCTTTTCCACCCTAAACCAGCCTGATCCATAAAGACCTGAGCTAACGCCCACTTAAATCAGGCAGTTAACGCTTTGCCTCAAAGGAACTTACCTTTTCTCCTCTAGTTATATATAGTGCTTCCCAGATGCACTTTAAATGTTCCATTTGCAAAATAGTAACAAACCATTTCCCCACACCTGTCTTTTGCTATGGTCTTGGGGGAGCCCTGCAGTCACTGAGTCCTTCCTAGTGCACATCAGTAACCACCTGGTCCTCTGGGGCCTGCTGCCTATTTGTGAGGTTGCACACCTCACGTCTTTCCACTGGCCGGGGGCTGGCCCACTTTGAGGCATATTGGCTGTCAAGATGCCTGTGGGACCTATGGCTACCACTGTCTTTTTACTGGAGCTTTCTAGTACAATTATCTCCTTCTACCCCACTAGTGACTTCAATCTTTTCCTTTAACCTAAGTATTTTATAAATTGTCTAGACTTCTGGGAAATAGGAAGGCTAGCAGATGGCACCCTGCTGTGTGTGTAGGGGCACAGAGACAGCTGTGGCAGGGGGCATCCCAGAGGTGTCTCATTCTCCCTGTCACAGCCAGCCCTTAGCCACCTTGGCCACTGGTGACCAGTGACTGGTTTTGAATGGTGGGGACCTCTCACCCCACTTACCAGCAGTATCTGTACCAGGTGCTGCTTCCTGTGGTGGGAACCACTGGGCCATGGTCCTGCTCTCCCGGGGCACTTTGTCCTCGGGGGAAGACAGGGCATCTATTGGGAGACTACAGGCAGTCTGGGCTGGGCTGCCTGCTGCAGTCTCCAGAACCCGTCTTCAGAAGGGAACCAAGGCTGTACCCTGCCCTCCCTGCGCCCACCTCAGGCTCAGGGTAAGTGGAAGAACCCAGCCAGCACCTTCTTCCTCCTACTCAGGCTGGGGAGACCCATCACCCACCTGGGGGCCTAAGGGGTGAGCTGGAGGCTCGCTTTCTTCCAGGGTACCAGCCATGGGACCGGTGCTGAGCCTTTGAGGGTTCAGGGCGGGCAGCAGTAGCAGCACCAGGCCTAGCCTGGAGCTGGCCATGGCAGGGCTTGGTTCAGGGGAGGAGGAGCAGTGTAGCATGCACCCAGGATGGAGCTCGATCCCAAGCCCTAGCTCTTAGGGAGGGCAGCCTTGTTGCTCCATGAATTAATATTAAACGTGTTTTAGGACAGGATTCGTCTTAAGAGTTTTACAGAGCTTTGTCCTGAAAGAATATGTGAACGTGTTGGTTTGCATTTCGAATGTTGTTACACTCAGAAGGGCGTCTCTGAAAGGCAGTAGCGGCTGTATCCCACGAGGCGCCGCGTTTCTCAGACCTAAAGAATTGGATTTGCTTTGTAAAGCACAAGCGAATCTGTTAAAAACTATAGGCTGAGAGCTGACAATGGAGTGCCCTCCGGAACAAACAGCTTCCCAGAAAGACAGCTTCCTGAATGGCTAAAAGCAAAGCTTTTGTTTAAACCACTCTAGACTACCTGTCTCCATTCACGATAACCTAATAAACATGGAGCCTACATATCTGTTTAACCCCTCTGTTTAAATGATAAACTTACCTTAGAATTTAGAAATTAACCTTTGAAAGACTTTGTAACCATTTGCTCACGTAAATAGAATTAGTTAAAGAATCTGTAGAAGCCTTCTGTAAAAGCCTTTTGAAAATCTGTTAACCTGAGAGGAACCACCTGTTGTTATGTAAATCTGTTACCCCTGACAATGGTTCACTATTTCCTATAAGTTACCACGTAAGACCTCATTCGCGGCTTTTGAGACCAACGGAGAGGTCTGAGCCCCCTGAGCTCCCGCTTTGCCTATAATCTTTATAAACTTATAAAACTGTATCTTTGTCTCAGCATATTCTTTTATTTCTTCCATTTTCCATTTCTCTCTATTATTTTCTTATCCCTTGCAACTCTACCAAAGGGACCTGGTTTTTTGCAGGGAACACTGGCCATGTTCCCCGCACAGCCTCCCTACTCACAGAGGGAGAACTGTGGAGGAAGTGGCTTCTTCAGGCAGCTGCAGGACCCTAGCTGGACAGCTCCACCCCCACCCTCCCACTCCTGGCCCAGACTCCAGGAATGTCTGGAGAGAGGGGAGGCAGAACAGCTTGCTACCCAACCCCTTCCCACAGCATCCACTCGATGAATGTACACCAGGCAGGTGCTGGCCCCTAGGTCACCAGACAGTTGTCTATCCCACCAGTCTTCCCAGGGGCCTCCAGCCACAGCATTCTTGCTTCAGGTTCACCCAGGTCCTGGCCTCATCTTCCCACTTCCCAGGCTGCACTCAGCTCCCACTGTTGAAGCCCAAGCCCTCAGAGGGCTCCCTGACCCAGAAAGGAAACCGTGGCCTGGAGAGGCAAGGCCTGAGGATTCCCTGACTTCCACACAGCTCAGGGCTTTCCTCAGGGGAAAAGTGGGGGCCTAAAGTGGGGAGCCCAGAAGCTGTTCAGAGGTGTGGGGGACACTGTGACCACCTTCCCCAAGGGCTTCCAATTGCTCACCTGTAAAATGGGTTGGGAGGAACAATTCACATCCACACCCCGGGCACCAGGGCTAGGTCAGTCCGATGGAGGTGGGTTTGGGTGGGGCAGTACCTACCCAGGAGTGGTCTCTCCTCTCCAAGCAGCAGACCCCATGCTGAGGGGGCAGTGCAGCCACTCTAGGGCTATCACCACGGGGTAATTTTGTCTGCATCCTGTGCTGAGCCCAGGACCATTCATGGATTTGGATAGCTAGCCTGGGGGGCTTGAAATGTGCTCTTGTGTCCTGGTCTACATCAGCAGCTCAGCTTTCACCACCAGCCACCAGCCTCCAGGGATCAGAGGCCTAAGCAGAGGGTTAATAGCCAATTTCTACATTTGGGCTGAACAGCAAACGAGGGCCAGGGTCAGGCTTGGCATCGTGGTGACCAGAGTCATTAGGAAAGCAGGTGCACCAAATCCTGTGTTGAAGATGGTGGTGCGGGAGGCATAATGGGCACCAGTCAGGCCTGGGCACCAAGGCCGGGGCAGAATGGGCGCACTATCAGCTTACACATTTATCATTGGAAATTATTAGCAGGAACCAGAAACAAATGTGTGAATTTATGTTCACTTACATTGTTTTGGGAAATATACACACTTTGTTAACTGGATGATTTTTAGGAAAACATTAGCTTCATGGTTTAGTGAAGATGACTCTTAGTTCAATACACTAGCTTAGTTCTGGTTTGGGTTTACAAAATGTTTTATTCAAAGTCCTTGGTGTTTACTTTAAGACAGGAATGAGGTGGGTTTTTTTATGCATTTTGATTATGGTTTTTCCTGAAAAATCCAAACCAGAACTAAGCTTCCCAGGGAAAACTCTGGTCCTCTTCTGGCAACACACTTGCCTTTTCAGAAATGTTACATGTCCTTTCCAGACTACCAACTCTGGAATTCATCCTCATATCCCTGTCATTAGAACACAGAAAGCCTTTGTTCACCACTGAGCTCCACCCAATGCTGGGTCCTGAGGATATGGAGTCGTTCCAGCTGGGAGTTGCTTGGAGTTCGTTGGGAAAGCAGAGGTTTAGAGCTGAATGGACACTTGAGTGCTGCACGAGCACGGAGGGGCACGAGCCCTGAGCAGGTGGCCCAGGGTGAAGGATAAGGAATAGCCAGAGTTGTGGAAGCAGGGATGGTAGCAGTGGGGTGCCCCAGTAAGGAACAAAATGAAGAAGGGCCAACAGGAGCTGCTGGAGGATCTGTGGGGCTAGAGGGAAGGATGGTGGGCCCTGGGGCGTGGGAAACAGGTGCCTCTGGGCCATCCCATGGGGTCATTCTGCAGGAAACACAATACATGACCCAGGACTGGGGGGCTGAGGGCTGGAGAGCTAAGGGTCCACAGACAGGCCCAGAGTCCCACCCTTTGAGGAAGGAGACAGAGGAGGAGCAGAATGAGGGTCAGCACAGTCCCTAAAACCAGTCAGGAGACAGTAGATCCCTGGGGCTAGCTCCAGGCCACCTTGGCCAGCAGAAGTGAAAAACAGGACCACGTGGGAATGAAGTGAGGAGGAGGGAAAAGTGAGAGACTTTTTGAAGTCTGTCATAAAGGTGTAAGAACCTGGGCCAGGGAGGAAAATGCTCTTTATTTTATTTAATGAAAGAGATTTGAGTATTTGGGAAGGAAGGTGATGAAGGAAACTGAAACCCAGGAAGGAGCCGACTGGATGAAGTGAGGTCCCAAGTGTAGCAGGACCCAGAGCTTTGGGTGTGGCGGGCACGGCTGTCCCTCTTCCCCTTGGGAGAAACACTCATCCCGACTCCAACCCCCCCAGGTTGCAGCTGGTCGGCTGCAGGTGGGCACTGGATGAGTGACAGCCCTGCCCTTCCCACACCATTGTGCTGTGTGCCCCAGTACGCTTTCCTTCTGGCCTACACTAGCTCCTGTCAGGTCTCTTGTGACCAAGCAAACCCTGAGCAGAAAGTAAGAAAGGAGTGAAGAAGGAGGGGTGGAGGGATGAGGGGATGAACGATACACCTGTAAACTGAGGAGACAAGGGGAGCAAAGAGCTGAGGTAATTCCTGCTTGAAGACATTGGTTTAGCAACCAAGTGGTATTTAAAATATTGGCCCAGCCGCTGACCAAATCAGCATGGACTCCAGCAGAAAACCGGCCAGGCCACAATGGTGCACCTGCTCAAGGCCAGCCCTGGCAAAAGGAGGCAAGGCAGCCTGCTGGGAGGTGGGGCATGCAGCACAGGGGGCTGTGGGCGGCCCCACCTGCAAGTTCACTGAACAGTTTGCTGACCCCGTGCCTGTCTGCCTGCCAGCCATCTGCCTGGACCTGGTCACATGGAGGTACTGCAGGGCAGCTTTTGAGAAGTCAGGGTCTCTTCCCCAAAGTTGGCACCCTTCACCAGAAATTCCTCAGGTTCTATCTTCGCTGAATTTAACCATGCTTCTTCTGAAACTACTGTGTTTTGAGTTTCCTGCTTCTTGGAGTTCCTTAGTTCCCAGAGAAGGACCGAATGCCTCTAACAACTTATGCTCATCTCTTGCAAGCTTCCAGAGGTGGTCTGTTGTAGCGCCCTGCCTCCCACAGGCCTCCTGGGTCTCTTCTGCACATCTTCCTTCACACAAACATTGGGATATGTGGTGCAAGACCAGGATCCCCTCTTGGAGCTACCACATGTCAACTGCTTTGTCTGGACGCTGAAACCCTCTGTATTATGGCTCCACTTGGCCTTTTCTCCTTTTTACTCATCTAAATTTCCAGCAGCCTGTGGGTCCAGTTCAAGTCTCACCCCTTCCAAGCAGCACAGTAGCACTGACCTCTGACTGTGCCTCTATGGCAGGCTGGGTGCCACCTCTCACTCCTGCAGCCTCTGGAGTCTGGGGCCCATGCTGGCTCTTTAAGAAAGGCCCAGGGGCCACAGGCTCCTTCAGCTCTGCCTGATAGCAATGGCAACCAGTTCCTCTCCTCTCCTGTGATCAGCTGCTCATGAGGCTGGGAGACAGTGGACAGACCCACCCTCCTAGCTGTACTCCCAACTAAAGACCACATTTCCCAGCACCCCCTGTAGCTAGGTGTAGATAAGGATAGGATAAAACCTAGTCATGGAGTCAGTGGGGTACGAGTACGATTTAGCTTTATGTCCTTAAAAAAGAAGTTACCTGTGCCTGGTGCTCTTTCCCCATTCCAGTTTGGAACATGGACATGGCACTGACCCAGCTTCAACCATGAGGATGAGTAATACCCTGAGGATACTGGGGCCAGCAGATGGGAGGATCCTGGGTGTCTGGGAAGGGCAGACTGTTACATGAGAAATAAATGAACATCCATCTTCTTTAAGACACAAAAGTTTTGACACTTTTGTCTAATGTGTTAGGCTCAAAATCAAGTTGGGATCTAAGACTCCCACCATGCTGGTTTCTGGATCTGAAACACTTCCACATAAAAGTCCGGGAAATGAGGACACATATGAAAGAAAATGGAAGCAATTTCACACAACACATGTAGACATAAAGAATTATCCCAGACAGAGTGAGACAATCCAGACAGCTCTGTAGCAAAGCA